GCTATATAAAAGAAACAAATTGGATCCCATGAATTCTAGAAGATCACCCACCAAATCATCAACAGAGGTAAAATGGCTGTGCCCACAATTATAAATGGCTTCAAGGTGATATCTTCCTTGATTGATAAAGTGAATATCTTCACCTCCATCTTTGCCTCTAACTAAATATTAAATGATAAAGATCATTCCCATTCCAAGTTCTAATGTCTCACTGAGCACAATCTCAGTAATATTACTGTCACAGCATGTGAGGCCTCTAGACTCATCAAAGGCCTTGACCCTAAGAATGCTCCAGGTCCAGACAAAATTTCAATGGTTGTCATTAAGAACATCAACCAGGAACTGTCTCCAATCCTATCAAAATTATCAACTGCTACTTTAAGGAGAAATCCTTCCCAAACTTGTGGAAAGTTTCAAGCTTATGCCCAGCTTCCCCGACTCAGTACAGACCCATCAGTCTCCCCAGCAAGCTCTTTGAGGCCATAATCAATAAGAGGGTTGTTTAGCACCTAGAAAAGAACAAACTCTTCAGCAACATGCAGTATGCATTTTGGTCAGCCTGATCCACTGCTGATGTCCTAACTACCATCACTCATAGAATCAGTGAGCCTCTTGATGACAAACACACCTTGAGGATCATAGCATTAGATATATCAAAGGCCTTCAACAAGGTGTGACACAAAGGCTTACTACACAAGCTCTCCAGTTATGGTATCACTGGAAGGGGCTTCTCAATCATTAAATCCTTTCCAACAGGTAGGTCTCTGAAAGTAGTTATCAATGGCCAGTCCTCTGGAACCCTAGAGGTCAACATGGGTGTCCCTTAGGGGCTCACTCCTTTTTGATCTACATAAACAATCTGCTTAAGAATATACAGATCATTTGTAAACATCTATACTGATGATATGACTATATGTGTGCACCTTTAAAACTGTCCATGGTAAGAGATTAGTTACTGAACTCTCTTCTGATGTTGCACAACATACCCAATGGGGTAAAGACTGGCTGGTTATATTCAATGCCTTGAAGATCAAGCTAATCACATTCAATCACCACCGATCTGACCTTGAACTACCATCATTCTTCATGAATGAAGGTCCTCTTGGGGAGGCTCTATGCTTCAAAAGACTGTTGGGCTTTAACCTCTCACCTGACCCTTACATATGGTCCATTGCTAAGAATGCAGGTAAAATGGTTGACTTCCGGCACTGCTCTAGTAAGTACTTCACTCCTCCTGCTATCCTTTATTTTTACAAGAGCCAGATCAGGCCAAAAATAGTAGTCATATTTGGGTAGGAGCTGCCCAGACAGCACTCTCCATCCTTCAAAGGTGTCTTTGAGCGCTTGTGGGTGATGAACTACTCTCCACTCTTCAATCCCTCTCCCACAGGTGGGATGTGGAAAGCCTCTCTCTGCTTTACTGCTACTTATATGGAAAATACTTGGACGAACTACATTCCCTGCTCCCACCAAGGCAAACCTTCACAGCAAGAACATACCATGCCATTTACATAGTAGGAAACCACCCACATTCCCTCTGTATCTCATCGGTGAGAAGTAAGTTCCCGTTGAACAGTTTCTTCCCCCAAACCCATGCTCTGTGGAACTAACTCCCAACAGGATGTTTCCCTGATCACTACAATCTTAACGTGTTAAAATCTGGGATAAACTGTTGTCTTCCACTCCTATATATACAAATGGCCACCAAACATAACCCTCTACCTCGAGTGGCCCACGGGCCTTGTAAAGAGTGAACCTTGCTGTAAAAAAAAAAAAGTGCAAATATGCTTGGGGAGAAGTATGAATTTGTGTCTTCTCTTTTCAGCTATGGGTCAGTTAGTAAGACTTGTATCACTAAACAATTCTCAAAAAAATCTTACAATGTAAAAATATTTTCTGGCTTTAAATAGCCTGTCAAGAGTTGATAAACCAATCAGTTTTCAATCTCTTGTGAATTGTTATGTGTCTTCTTGTAAAAGGTAATAGAATGATTATTCATTGCTTTCCCTTCCGTTTTCATTTCCTAGTAGTAGCACTACTACTACTCCCACACAGGCTGTCCTATCAAAGCTAGAATGCTTAGCTAAGGTTTGAACCATATCTGTACCAATAAGCAATATCATTGTTCAGTTTAATGATGAACTCTATTGAAGTTGCACACAAGTTAAATTTCTTTTAGTCTGGAAGGAGGATTTTGTTAGTGGTTAGAGAGGACAATATACACTTGATTTGAATCTGTGACAATCTTGGAACCATTATGAAGAATCAAATTGAAAATGTCCTCTTGAAGATTTTCTCAAAGAGCAGCAGCATTATTAGCAGCATCTGGCAAAGTTTTGGAGGAATTAAAAGTTGAACAACAAAAGTTTGGAAACCCATTTTGCTTGTTTAAAACTAGATTGGGTTACATGGAGTCTTATGTTGGAAAGTAAAATAATATTGATAACAGGGAATTTTCATCCTAACAAAATATCAGTGACAATCTTCAAGTCATTATGTTACCTTCACATCCCAATAAATGTTATTATTAAAAAAACAAAAAAAAAAAAACTATCACTTCCCCTTCTTTCAGTTTTGTATATCTTTAAACAGCTGTTCATCTATTGTGTTATGGAGGCTTTTGAAAATTAAGCAAAATTTTATTATTATTATTTATTTATTAGAAAGAGTTTCATGGTGGAAAATTGAATGACTTTTCTAATTGTTCATTTTCAAGGTTGACTAGAGTTGGGGTGCAGTCTGGCTTGACAATCCTTGAATGACTTTAATAAAAATTTATTATTTTTATAACTAAGCATCTGCTAAAGTTACCAGTTTTGTAATTAACTTACTGTTAAAATAATGTTTCTTTGCTTTGAAAAAAAAAAGTTCATGTTACCCTTGATTGAATGTCACAATATTGACAATTATTCACCTGGTTATTTTCCTAATGTTTTTAGCATGAGTTATATGCAAACATAGATATTTGCACATCTTTGTTCAATTGAATTGAAGTTGCACACACATTTCTTTTTATCCTTTTTGAAAAAGGAGGATTTGGTAGGTGGCTGAGGAGGGGAAATATACTCCTGACTTGAATCTCTATGACAATCTTGGAGCCATTATGAAGAATCAAATTGAAAATGTCCTCTTGAAGACTTTCCCAACAAGCAGCGGAATCCTTAAGGGAATTTGGCAAAGTTTTGAGGAAATTAAAAGTTGAACAACAAATGTTGAAAAACTTTTTTGCTTATTTAAAACTAGAGTGGGTTTCATGGAGTCTTCTGTTGGAAAATGAAATAAAATAATATAGATAGCATGGAAATTCATCTTAGCTGAATATTGGTGACAATTTTGGAGCCATTATGAAGAATTGAAAATGTCCTTGGAGACTTGCTCAAAAAGCAGCAGCACTCTTGATAACAATTGATGGTAATAATAATAGCCATTTCCCTACAAGGAAACATTTGGCATTCATTGGCTGAGCAGCCAGTACTGTTTTCAGTTGAAATGTGTAAAATCTTTCTCTTAAAACAGTTTTTTTTAGAAAAACAAGTTTCTTGAGTCCATTAGCTTTTATCACTCTTTCCAATTTTGATGGGGGATTTCCTTCTGAACCTTCTATTTGAAGTGGAGTAGAATGTTGACATCTTGATTATGTCGTTTTTTTTTTTAGATTTAGATGTGCTATCCATTTTAACTGTTGCTGCTGTTGGTAGTCCTCAAATGATATGATTTCTGTTATTTGGTACAGTTCTTTTTTTTGTGATTCTGTATCGTCAGTCCACAATGTTCAAGGAAAGATGATCTTTGCCAAAGACCTTCAGGCTTTACTCGCTCAAAGCTCTTTTTCACCATTGATCTTAAAAAAAGTGATTGCATGGTGCCAAGCTCATTCAGAAATATCTAATTTCTGAATGGGATTGGCACCATGCATGACATCCATATGAAAGCGTCAAACTGACGAGGCTATTTAAGAATATCTTGAATGTTCAGGTTGATGTTTTGGTTTTGTAGCAATTTGCAGTGATGAAAGAAAATTCCTCTGACACAGCCTATTCTGTGTTTAATTTCTTTTTCTCCTATACTTAATTTATTATAGCTGATCCATATGCCAAGGTATCTGAAGTGTTTAGTATTTACTAATATTCAGGGTGGGGGCCATCACTGCTTTCATTCCAATTCCGGATCATAGTTTCTGTTTTGGAAAGGTTTATTTTGAGTTTCATTTCTTGGAATACTTGATAGAGGATGCTGATTTTCTGTTTAAGATCATTCTTGTCCCAGCTATGAATACCCTTGTCCTCAGCATAGCCTCCCCTCATCATCAGTTCATTGACCTCATGAAGGAAAGCAAGATTGTTGTTTTCTATTGGTGGACTTGTTTGAGATGCTGTATAGTATGTTTAAATGATCTGCGCTTATCATATCACATCTTTGTTTAGAAATGTTCAGGGCAGTCGAAGAAGAGATTAAATAGAATGTAGCTCTCATTTTCTCCTTGTTCTCCTGATACAGTCTAAAATGTTTCCATATTGGGGTCCTCATCAGAGATGTAAGATTTTGAAGATCAATACAGTTCCTCTATTAGATCAATGCATTCAGTGGATTCGGAGCTTCGAAGGTGGTCTCTAATGGATAGGAAGGAGTCTTTATTGATGTGCTCATATGTTGCCATGATGGCAGTGATCAGCAAAATTGGAAGTATTTTAAAAGAACAACAAATATTCATTTAAAACTAAATTTAATTTTTTTTTTTTTTTTTTAAGTTTTAGTAGGAAATTTAAAAAAAAATTTCATGGAATATTTGTTTGCCAAAAAAAAAAAGTCTATTTTATGATGAAATTTCCTCTTGATAAGTATATGAAATTGTATCTTCTATGAAATTCTTATAATTATACAATGACTTTTTTTTTCATCAAGAAGAAACTTATTTGATATTTATTTTACAGTTAAAATTGTGTGAAATAAGATGGCTGAAACACCTTAGTCAACAAAGCATGTAAAAGTGCTCACCTGCCATGGTAAGTAAATTTAATCATTCTCATTATACACACATCATTTGACTGAGTTTGAAATAAAACATTGGAATTATACATTTCCCTTCCATTCGGGCTGGAATACTCCTACCCTGGGTTGAGGAATGAAATCCTTAATTTGAAGGTCAAAAAAAAATTTTTTTTTTTTTAACTTAATGTATCAGGTGATTATATAGGTATCTCCAAAGATTCACTAAGATGAGCATACCATGATGAAAAAAATGCTCCAAACTTAATAAAAACAAAGTTTTATCATCAAAATCTCTGTTATTATTAAGAGGAAAGACCAAAGGATTTTTTCATTTTTAAATTATATTTTTGATCCTTCTTAGAACATTTGAAATTTTGTTTTTCTTGTGTTTTAAGATTAGTGTAGGAAATTTTTTTTTTTTTTTTTTTTTTTTCGATGATAAACATTTATTTGGAAATTCTTGAGAAATCAAATAATTGATTCATTTTAGAATGTTCAAAATTTTGGTTAAAAATTTTGTTTTTCTTACATCAACAGGAGGACCAAAGTTTAGCATAGGAAATTTTAATGTCTTTTTTTTTTTTTTTTTTTTTTTTTAAGTGAAAAACACATCGAGTTGGAAATTCTTGCAAAAACCAAATAATTGTCAGATTTTAATGAAGTTTTCAGGATTTATATACAAATGAATGAAATTATTTCAGAAATTTTTTTTTTTTAAGAAAATCTAGTGTTTGACCATCTTGGCATTAGCAAAGTGACAAGTAACAGATTGATAATTATATGAAATTCTATAAATACAAAGTGACCTGACATTGAGCAGAATGACAGCCAATGGTGGCTTTTAAGTAAATACATGAGAATAGATTTGTGTAATGAATTTCTAGAACTTCCAGGCTTGTAAGTGTTATTTAAAAAAAAGATTTTCTAATCATTTCACCCCAAGCAAGGTGATAATGCCACTAAGATGCAAAGAGTTACTGTTAATGAAAGAGAATGAGAAGACTTTATGAGAAGAAAAACCATAAAAGAGGATTCAGGAAGACAGAAGATAGTATTTGGTGTTGCATTTAAATTTTTGAAGATTGTAGGTGGAAAGGAAGCTCCACAGGTGAGAAGTGTGAGAAGACTATTGGAATAAACCTTACGGTTACATCTAGCTAATTCAACAGTAAAATGATGAGACAAGGCACCAAGGAAGAAAGCAATATTTATTTTGTTTTAATACAAAAATGTGGCACAAAGGGGATAGGGGAAGGCTGGTCTTCAATCTGTCTTGTCTTAAACTTAGCTCGCCATGAATACTGACCTAAACATGACACATTCTTACTTACCATTCTTACTACAACCACCATAATACCTCAAAGTCTCTATGTAGTTCTAACTAGTTTTCATATGTACAATTTGTCTTGGAAGGAGAGAATAAAATAACAACATTTATAAATGAAACCCCAGTGAACCTAGCAAGAAAGCTCATCAGAACAATTACCATGAAAATATTTATAGAAAAGGTGGAGGAAAGCCATGTCAAAGCTGTGGCAAAGTGATTAAAGTTGAGATGCCAGGTTAGGACCAATAACATTCCAGACTCTTCTTTGAATTTTGTAAAAAATCTCTATTTTTAGTGGGAGCACTATTTTTGAGAAAGAAGTCAAAAATTACATTGTCATTCAAAATTATGACTTATTTCAAAGGAGTAATCACATTTTTAAAATCCTTAATTCGATGCTTTGTTCATCTACTTCTCTTTTGAGGAAAAGCAGATTTCATGCAATAAAAGAACTTAAAACTCAGTATGAAAATACATACAAAATAAAATTTGCATTAAATAAGGTTTTCTTCTATTTTGAAGTAACCTTATATCTGCTGTATATGTAGATAGCACAAAGCTTGATTGGAAGTACTAGTAATCATCTGTTCAGTTAGACAGTATAAAACCTAGTCAGTACTTAGATGGATAATCATGACTGGTTAGACAGTGAAAAGGGCAAACCTTTTAATGAATTTCTATATAGATGAATTATTTTCTTCAATATTGGTTGTATAAATATGCAAATTTTATAGACTTCTTTTTTTCTTTTTTTAAAATTATTTTATATATTATTATAAAGAATGAGCAAGGGTTGCATATTAGGAGAATATGTAGGATAGATAACGGTGGATCCTTGATTTGAAGAGGTTAACATTGTAGTGATCAGGGAAGTATTCCATCGGGAGTTCATTCCACATTGCAATTCTGGGAATGAAACTGTGTGGAACTTCCTCCTTATAAATGGAATATGAAGAGAATGAGTTGACTGTATATGTAGCATTGACAAGTCCTACTTGTGAACATCTGGATTAGTGGAACCCAGGTATATGGCTAGCCCAAATATCTGCCATGAAAATAACAAGATAGCAGCAAGAGCCTAGCAACATTCTATCTGTGGGAAAGTGTAAGACAATTCATCAATCACAAGACTGTGCAAACACGTTTGAACTCAGTTGAGGCTGGAAAGTGTGGATTGGACTGTTCCAACCTCGATGTGACAGCGATACTCCATTTTTGGTTTGATCTGGCTCTTGTAGAGATAGAGCATGGCAGGAGGAGTCTGGTACTTTTTGGAGTGGTACAGGGAGCCAATAATTCTTGCAGCATCTTTAGTGATGGTTGTATATACAAATACTACATTTAAATTAATCTAAGTTGAGGGATATTATTGCTGTCATAGTTATTTCATTTGAAGGAAGTGCTATTGCCACAATGGTTATTGGTGCAAAAAATGAAATCCATGTTCATATTTCAAATTTCAGCCAAGGCTGTTTGTGTTCACTTTACAATAATGCCTTTGGGAAAGGCATAAACCCATCTCTTCCCTTTTCTTAGCACTAGGTGAAATAATAGCGCAGACTGGGCCTTTTTATCTTGGTAAGTATTGGAGAACAACTCTAAATTTGATACCAGCTTGAAGAGGGATGTACTCTAGGTACACCTATTCAGGCCATTGATGCAGTACATATAGTTTCCCAGTAACTCTAATATGCGCTATCTTCCATGTCAGTGGGGCCAAAAATACACTGGGGCCAAAATAGCACTCTTTCCTCATTATGTTTTCAAGGAATTTCAGCAATCTCTTCCTTGATTCTGAGTAGAAGTGTTCTTTCTGTTGCCATTTTCTTTAAAACTTATTGCTTATTCACTCAATTCATGGAATTTTCAGTATCCTTCTATAGAACCACATTTCTGCTGCCTCTAGTTTTTTTTTTCCACTTCCGTGGGGAGATTGTTCAACATTCACTGCCATATAAGAGGAAAGATATCACATAGCAATCCTGCACTCTTTTCTTTCTTTCTAATCCTTTCCATTTCTGTACCTTGCTTAGCTTTTTGAAATGCTTCTTTTGCTTGACCAATGCATCCTTGTTGCTTATTCACTCCATCCATGGAATTTTCAGTATCCTTCTGTAGAACGACATGTCTGCTGCCTCTAGTTTTTTCTTTGTGTGTGGGTAAATTGTCCAACATTCACTGCTATATAAGAGGATGGATATCACATTACAATCCAGCACTCTTTTCTTTGTTTTAAATGTTTTCATTTCTCAGCATCTTGCTTAATTTTTTTTGAATGTTTCTTTTGCTAGTCCAATATGTGTTCAGATCTTGGTGTCACATTTTCCATCCTCTGTTAAAATACTTCCTAGATATTTAAACTTCTGGAAATGCTTGGTGTTTATATTTCCAATTTGTAACTCACTTTTTTTTTCTTCTTCTGCTAATGACCATACTTCCTGTATTCTTACAGTTGACAGTCCTTTTTTTTCTAATCTTCTATGTTGTGGATTCTGAGATGAATTCGGTCTCCAAGGAATGACAAACGCAATAATTAAATATAAGAAATAAAATGTATTTACACAATCATACAAAGAGTAATACTGTTAGTAAGTCCAGGAACACGGTTAGTAGCAAATACAGATGGATATATATAGTCTCGAAGTAGGACTTCCTTAGAGTCTACGTGCTTGTAACTGACTTCTACAAGAGGTTACCTCACACTATCTCCGTTCGTATATTCTCTCACTATCCGTATATCCTCTCTCACTGACTGTCTAACTCTGGGTATTTAACAGCAGTACTCCAAGTAACACTGGTAGAGTTCACTTATATGAAAAGGGGAGGACCCCATAACATTCTACAACACTGTTTAGGAGGTCCTGTAGTGTCCTTTCTGAGTTGATTATCTGCATAACTTATCTTGTTCAGATTACACCCACCAATAATAAATCTTGATAAGGTCGCCAGTTCCCTTAGGATGTATAATGTGTCTGAAAGCGAAAGCTGAGGATCAATCAGGTTGACAGGTAAAACTATGACATGGCTGATGTTCAACTATATGTGGGTAGAGGAACATAAAACCTATCAGTGCCCGTAATCCCTCTTGAACATGAGTGTAATATTCTTGGATTTTTGTCATCTCTGGGCAATTTTCTCCCCCCCCCGTGACATTTCTTAGCTTTTGTCTCCAAAGTGGGTGGTTAAAGAACAACTGAATTGTAGAAATACAATAAAAAATAAATTGGTTATGACCAGGCTCCATATAAGCCATACACACGCAACCCACTCACATATATAATGAAAAGAAAAATATGAAGGTCCGCTTATGTGTGCAGCATATCTTTAGCCATACACTGTACGGCAGATCTTGCCCCTTCTCAAATATTATGAAGTAAATACATTAAAAGAATTATTCAACAAAATCCAACTAAGCGCAATATTTGAATTCTTACAATGTCTCCATCCTTACATATATACAAAATGAGTTTTCAAATGAGATAGCATTCTGGTGTTGAAGTGTTGTTTACATATATAAAAAAAAAAAAATCTCTAACTTAACCTCAAGGTGGGTGGGGAGTGAGAAAATGGAAGCAGTCAAGATATGTTATTCATAAAACCTACCAAGACACTTCACAAAGATCTCATGTCAGATAGAGAGTATGAGCAAATCTGAAAAAAAAAAAAAAAAAAATCTAAGATTTATAA